CTGTTCACTGATCGTGTGAGAGCGAAATTAGGGCCCTTGCTAAGCAAATCTACCAGCTGGTCGGGAAGCATCTTATCGGTCATGTTAACAAACTTATCGCGATTACTGAATGGATCAGGGGCTGTGCTGGAGGGATAAGACTTTCTGCGGGTGGGTCCTGTTTGGTCACGGGTGCTATTCACACAGTCGATATCATTGAAATCGCTTTCTCCAAGACAGTCATGCCAGATATCCCCGTCAGCATCCGGGGCTACACGCAAGGCGCACATTTTTGTATCGTCCCCTGAGTCGCTGGCTAGTCTTTGGTCAGCCTGCAGCTGTATCACATCTGACAAGCAATCATACCACTTTTCGAGAGGTTCAGTGCCCACGCAGCCACCGGGCAATAGACTCGAACAACCGTTTACTGGGGAGGTCGACAAGAGGCTTGTGATCTCGCCAAGTATCGCTGGTTTTACGTTATCACGGGTGGAGTTGGAGTTTTGCAGAGGGAAGTTCTTACCTCCAGGCGTTACGGTATCACGCGCAGATGTTACTGTAGTGTCTCTGCAGGTCGGATGCAGGTGTGGCATCGGGTCACTGCGGCAATCAAACCACAGCTCCTCGGTTCCTGGGGCCACTGGTGGGGTCGACGGAGGCGTTTGCAGGTCAGTGCTGACCAGACGGTCGTTTTCTTCTGGCGGTCGTCGCTGGTTCTGGTTCTTGTAGTTCTTGCTCCTGGTTCTTGTCGGTCTTCTCGATGTCGATCGTTCGTGGCCGGCTCCAATCGTCCCATCTTCGTCGTTTTGGTTGGTGTACGCCGTCCGGTTGAGGTCACTGGCGTCGCTTCTCTCTCGATCAGGGCTCGTCCTTCGTTTCACAGTGGAGGTGTCACTGATGCTGATTTCTTGCCGCAAGGTGAGAAACTTCTTACCATGCGTGCTGGCTGAAGTCCGTGAGGTGTCTTCATACACCTGTCTAGCTAGGTGACGTGTAAGGTCGTAATGCTCGTGTGAAGCTGCTTCCCGATCAAGACGCCTTGCTTCTCGATGTCTGAAAGCTTGAGTTCGGAAGGCATCTTTGATCGACTCGCTAAGAAGTTGTCTGCAGAAGTTTTTGCGACGCTTTTCTACAGTCTTGTTGTTCTTGAATACATACGCTATATTGCGTACGCTCTGGGTGATAAATCTTGGATACACTGCTGCACGTTTACATTCAAGAAGGAATCGGATTCGTTCGTTCGTCTTTGCTTGTTTGTCTGCGTTGATCACAATACGCACCAATGCTTCTCTGCGGTTAAAAGACGCCTTGCCGCCTGGCTAGCCGATATATCAATGATTTTGTTTAATTATTCAATTTCAACAAAAAAGTGCAAAGAATGAGCATAAGGTTATTTATACATACTTTTCTAAATACGGGCGAGGGTTAAATCGCATCAAACGCTATGGAGACGACTGGATAATAACATTTAATGCTACAAAAACAGTCCAACAAACGCTTAGTAACAAAAAAAAAAACACACATTCCAAGCCTGGAATTTGGCGGTTCACCAATTCCCATTCGCGATTCCCACAAACATCTTGGAGTAACAATCTCAACTGATCTGAGATTCAAGTCTCACGTCAACAACATCCTATCAAAATTTTACCGCACGATGAGTCCTCTCTTCCCAATAGCATCTCTACTTCCACGACAAATCTTACTTCAAATCTATCAAATGTATGTCCAGCCCCATCTCGACTACTGCGACTCAATATTTGATTGCCATCTGACAGCATTTGACAAGTCCCGACTAGAGAAAGCACAGAACAGGGCGGCACGCCTCATCACTGACACACCTCGAAGGACGTCTACAGCGGGCCTCCGGAAAGAGCTGGGCTGGACCTCACTAGTAGACAGACGTCGGGCCCACAAAGTGCAACTCTATCACAAGATAGCATTAGATGATCGTGTTCCGGACTTTATAAAAGACATCATACCCAAAACGAGAAACCTAGAGATAGAGAGAAATCTGCGATGCACACAGTCCACTCAACGCACCATCCCAGCAGTCCGCTCAGCTTCCTACGCGAGATCTATCATCCCAACAACAACAAGAATCTGGAACGAACTACCCAACGACTTACGAGCCGAGCACAGCCAAAAATTCTTCAAAAAGAGGCTGTATGCATATGCCGGTATAAACATGTCACCTAGCTCCTACCTAAGCACTGGTTCCAAAATTGGAAACCGGCTTCACACCCGACTCAGGCTTAATTCATCAGATCTTAACCCTCGCCCGCACATGGGGGGGGTGGTTGCCACCCCCCCCCCCAGGTAGTCTTTCTGCTCTGCACTCAACATTTTTGGAGCTAGAAGGCTGATTTTTCGTATAGCTGCTCCTCTATCCTTTCTGGATGTCCACTGAAAATTTCAAGTTCTGTGATTTTTGGTTTCGGAGATATGACCTTGTTTTTCAGGTCATGTCATGACCCAAATGGCCAATTCTCAACGTCTTGCGTTTGCCATGGGCCTTGTGAGCTTTTGACACCCTGATTTCGGCCTTTTTTGCCAGTCCTACCTACCACCTATCATGGAACATGTTGTTCGACGATGTACAGGGGTCAAGGTCAGGGTCAAGGTCAACCTAGGTCATCTAAGATAATTGCGTTTTAGGCAAGCAGAATTTACTTTTTGTGAAGTTTTTTGACTGCATTTTTTGTAAAAGCTTCTCAGGTCATGATTTCATGTAATATGGACCCAAAAACAATCGGTGCACACATCAGTATACACACAGACACACACAGACATACAAACACATATAATTGACCTTGACCTAACTTGACCTGAAGTGACCTCAGCAGCAAAAATCTGGTCGGGTAGTGTGACAAAGAGGTTCTAGCTGGCTTGGCACCAGAAAACAGCATCGTCATCGGTATTTGATAAGCAGCGCACTTGATATCCAACGGTGACCCAAAACAGCAACATTTTTTAGTTTGACCTGACCTGGAAGGTCAATGACTGACCTGAGAAGGTAAAACTGGGTATCATTGGATTCGTCTCTTCCCAAAGAATCTTTTTGGTCTTTACCGCTAAGCTCTATCTCCAACAGGAACGAAATGGCGCGGGGGGGGGGGTGGCAACCACCCCCCCCCATGTGCGTTCTAGGATGGGAAAATGGCATGTGCGGGCGAGGGTTAATGACCACAGATTCAAATTGGGGAAAAGTGATTAAGCCAAGTGCAGATGTGGTGCTGCTACAGAAAACAACGAGCATTTCCTCCTTATCTGTCCACTCTTTCGCACAGAACGAGAAGAATTGTTCGAAAGGTTAACTGAAATTCTCAGTGAGAACTTTCAAAACATTCCTCGGAAAAAGAAAATAGAAACACTGCTAAATGGGCCTTCGCGAGTTATTAAGGTTACCCGCCATGACACCACCATGGCCGTCCAGAGCTATATACTCAAAACGCGGAGATTTGCCTGCTAGAACTAGGAGCAGCACTTCCATTTCGGAATACATAGCAATGGCACGAGTAGGGGCGGGGACAGGCGCTTCGGCCAAGGCAGGGTCGACTTCGCTATGTTAATATTGACATTTTGATTAAGATCAGTAGTGATTAGTAGTGTTCGATTAGAAGTGTTATTGTCTGCTTTCTACGTGTTTCGAGCGGCGTCTCGTTTTAAGCGCCATAGCGCTTCTACGCCAATCGTAATGTTTCGACAAGTGTGAATATTGATGCTCCAATAAATCATCTCTCTCTCTCTCTCTCTCTCTCTCTCTCTCTCTCTCTCTCTCTCTCTCTCTCTCTCTCTCTCTCTCTCTCTCTCTCTCTCTCTCTCTCTCTCTCTCTCTCTCTCTCTCTCACTCTCTCTCTCTCTCTCTCTCTCTCTCTCTCACCGCCGTACCGCTCTCAGTCTCCGAAGCGGCGTGCTGGAGGGACGCTGGCCGGCCTCGGCCGGTGCAGAATTAGGGGCCGCGCACGACCGAATGGTAATTGAGCGATTTACATGGTGTTCGCTCGCGCCACAAGGAGCCGAGTGGAGACGGATGGCCGCGCCGGAGTCCCGTAACATGTCGGTACAACATACCTACACCGCCGCCACCGGACGGGGAGGCTCGCCAGAGCGGCGGCGGCGGGCGGCCGGCCAATGGAATAACGGTCGGGATGCATTGCCAAGTGATGCAGCCAGGTCCGCCTAAAGATGCAGGGCTTGTTGGAAGAGTTGACAGTTGGCATTTCTAAACACACTAAAAACTAAACATATTCATTCGGTGTTTTATTTTTCATTGATATAGCAACATTGCGGATGCTTTATCCATTTGTGACGGCTGCTGAATGTTAGAGGAGTGTCGGAATCCCCACCGTGTTGTCCGCTCCAGTTCCGGTGCTAATTTCCCCTTGCGCCCCACCATGTGTCCTGCCGAGTCGCGCAATCAGCCCGTCAACACCTCAGTCAGACCAGCAGAAACAGCGACAGCGACAAATGGTCCTCCCTCCCCTCCCCCAGCGCCCCTCTGTTCGCTCAGCGTCGGCCGTCTTATCCCCCCGCCCATCTAAAGACCATCGTGAATGAGATCAGCCCCCTACACGTGCTAACACCCCCCCCCCCCCCCCCGCCATCCAACAGCTATCTCCCGACACCTTCGACCGCAAAGCCACGACAGACGCCGCATTTTTGGGCACTTTTCGCTCATAAGCGGCGCGAAATTCCTGCCGTTTACGTCAGAGGGACGCGCGTCACCCCTAATCGGACGCGATGACCGGTCCATGGAGCTCTCGGCTCTGGCCCTGCTAATTCCTGTTCGGCAAACTGTCCGGCCAACCACACAATTTTTCCGCATGGGGAGCGGCCAACGCGCGGGTCGGGCCCGTCCGCCATGGCGGCGGCCGGCCAGCGGGAGGGCAGGCCGCCGCCGTCGGGCGCGTTGATTGGCTGCCGTCCGCCGAGGCCCCGCCCCTTCCCGGCCGGCGCGGCGGCGGCGGGTCGGGCGGCGAGCCTGGCCAGTTTCGAGCCGACTCGCGTCGTGGCGGTGGTGCTGTGTGAGCAGAGACCGTGTGCCGGTGAGCGGCGGGCCGAGCGGGCAGACCGTGCTGTGACCTGGGGGAGCTCCGGGCAGCGACCGTGGACGGCGGGGCGGCGCGCGCGGCCGCGGGCGCCGCCGGCGGGCCCAGCGGGGCGGCGGCGGCCGCCGGCGAGCTGTCGGCGGCGGCGGCGGCGCCCGACATGGCGGCTTACTCGCAGTTCAGCTACCAGTACGGCGCGTCGGCCTCACAGGTGGGCTCCGGGTCATACCAGCACAATACGGAGCTGCAGGTCACCCCAGCGCAGCGCACTGCTCTGGGATACTACGAAACAACACACAACAGTTGCAAAGCAGATGTGAACTCGTGGAACCAAATCTTAACACCGCATAGATTAAAGAAACGTCGATAGATAAAAATCCGCCCTATTCTTAACGTCCGTTTTTTTTTTAACCCAAGCAACAAACAAACACGCGAGCAAAACGTCCCGACACTCGCGTCGCTCCTTCTCGTCTCTTACCACGGCCACATGGTGGAAGCGCCATGGTGATCACCCGATCAACTTTCCACAGCTGTGTGTGCCGCTCGGCGCACAAGGACAGTGACAAAAAAAAAACACGGTTTTCGAACACGGTGGGTTGACCTCCGTGTAGTTGTGCTTTGTGCATCCTGTTTGAGGGACCAGGGGTGGATTTTTTTGTTTTTTATTGGGGTTGCACAGCCCTGAAAGGGCGCCCAAAGCGGTTCCGAGGGGCGCAATAGTCCGGAAGTGGGCGCCACCAGGTACGGTCGTAAACTTGGCGTTGGGGGGGGGGGGCGAATTGGCAAAGGGGCCCCTGTAGACCCTCGCTGGGGGGCGGTGTGTTAGCTTAACCCGCGTACCGCGGAGGGGGGCGAATATCCGTCCCCCTCCCCCTGAAGTTTTTCGTAAGTAGCGGAAAACTTCTGAAACCAGTATGAGACCCTTATATAAGCCCGGCGTAAGATCATTTAACGCCAGTATTGAGACTGACCCTCATAAACCGGGTGAGACCTCGCACAGCAGTATGGGTCTTTGAACTCCAACGTGGGTCGTACGAGACCTGCCGAGCCATCAGAGGCCAGTGCGGGCCCGGGGTCATCAAAGGCCAGTGCGAGGTCGTCAAAGGCCAGTTCGGAACCTCTGAGGTGGTGTGAGCCCTTGAGGCCAGCGTTGGTCCTTGAGAGGTCAATGTGGGACCCCTTGACTGGTATGGACCCTAAGAGACATGTGTGGTGCCAATGCGACCCAAAATAGACACAACTAACGACATGGGGCTCTCAGAGACTAGCAGCGGCCCTTAAAAACCTGCACGAGCCAAACAGATCGACAGGGGCCCTCCGAGATCGGCAGAGAATAAGAAGATAGCATGAGGCGCCTATGATGGGCAGGCCCGGGCTCTCAAAGACCTAAATGGAACTATCAGAGACCAGGGACCCTTTGCAACAGACATGGGCCCTCAGAAACCGATGTGACCCCGATATGGTATTAGACCTTAATGCCGGCCCGCTGCGACGAGATGACGGCCCTCAAATTCCGAAATTCCGACATGGGGACCAACAGAGACTGACAGGGAACCTTGGAGGACGGCATGAAACGCCAAAAGTTCTTCCTTGGACCCCAGAGACGACTAAAGATGGGACTCTCAGAGTCTGGTGCGGGGCCCTCTGAGGCCTGTTTTGGGCCACCAGGGTCCGGTTCGGTCCATCAGATGCCGGTTATGGCCCTCAAAAGCCGGTTTGGGACCCTGAGTGGCCACTGGCCAGTACTGGCCCTCCAAAACCAGTTGGTCATCAGAGGCCAGCCCAATATGATCCCTTACAGGCCAGTGTGGAGCTCTCGGAGGTCAATGTGGGCCCTCAGAGCCCAGTGCGAGGCACCCAAAGTTCAATCTTGAGCCCCCAGCGACCGGAGTGGGTTCATCAGAGGCTAGTGTGGGTCCCTCAGAGGAGCCCGATTCGGGGCCCTCAGAGGTCGGTGTAGGGCCCTCAAAGGCCAGTATTGGCCCTCAAAGGCCTGTATGGGGCCCCAGGCTCAGAGGCCGATGTGGGCCCTCAGGGACCAGACTAACCTGGCACCCCAGAGACCATAATAGGGCCATCAGTGGCGGTGTAGAGACCCCATAGACCGGCTGGGGCCCATTGAGGCCAGTTTGGGGCCCTCAGAGTCCAGTGTGGGGCCTGTTATAAGCGACAGTAGGGCTCCCGCTTTCATTGTGTCTCGAACAAGACTGGTCCACATTCCAACCGCGCCCGCTGACCCCAGCCGTCGGCCCGTGCGCCGGCGGGCAAGTCATCGCAGAGGCGGCTCTAGGGAGACAATCGAGGAGCACACTACCACAGGGCCCCTAAAGACTGTCATGGGTCCTCAGAGCCGGCATAGGGCCCTCAGAGCCACCCAAGGGACAAGGGCCAGCCTTGGGTGTCAGTGACAGAAATGGGGTTATCAGCAACCGGTGTGAGACGTTTAGAGGCCGGTTTGGAGCCCTCAGAGGCCAGATTGGGACCCTTAGAAGCCAGTTTAGGGCCCTCTGGGCTCTGAGACCAGTACAGGGCCTTCAAAGGTCAGTTTGGAACCATCAGAGGCCGACGTGGGTCCTCAGGGGCCAGTGTGATTTCTACAGGCCAACGTGGAGCCCTCAGAGGTCAGTATGGGGCCCTAAAAGACCGGACAGAGTGTCCTCAAAAGCCAGGATGGGCCATCAGAGGCCAATGTTGGTCCTAAGAGACCGACATCGGGCCTCCAGAAGCCAGTACGGGCCCTCAGAAGTGCCCAAGGGTTAGTCGTTGTCCGCCAGAGACAGAAATTGGGCCATCCGAGCCACGGTGTTGGACCCTAGGAGGCCAGTTTGGGCCGTCAGAGACCAGTTTGGACCCTCAAAAGACCAGCGTGGGTCCGTACCGGCAGTGTGAGGCCCTCAGAGACCAGTACAAAGTATCTTACCTATCTTACAGGTATCTTACAGGCCAGCGTGGAGCCCTCAGAGGTCAGTGTGGGGCCCTAAAAGACCAGCATGGGTCGGTGTTGGACCCCAGAGGTCAGCATAGGGCCCTCAGAGGCCGATGTGGACCCTTAGAGACCGGCATCGGGCCTTCAGAAGTCAGTACGGGCCCGAAATGAGGCCATTAGAGGCGTGGACCCCCAGAGACCAGTTTGGGAGCCCTCGAGACCAGTACAGGGCCCTCAAAGGCCAGTTTGAGGCCCTCAGAGGTCGATGCGGGCTCTTAGTGACCGGCACCCAAAGGTCAGTCCTGAACCCCAGAGACAGAAATGAGGCCATCAAGAGATCAGTGTGGGGCCCTCAAAGGCCGGTTGGGGGACTCCTGATGCCGCTTTAGGGCCCTCAAGGGCCAGTGGAGGGCCCTGAGAGGTCGATGTGAAGTGAACCCTCATCGGTCGATGTGGGCCCTCATCGGTCAAGGTGGGCCCTTGAAGGCCACTGAAGCGCCCTCAGAAGTCAGGATACTCAAAGACCGGTATGGGGGCTGTTACATAATACCTGGCGTTGGTTTCTTGAGCCTCGTGACAATCGGGTAAGAGCCAGGGCCCCTACGCCCATCGGGGCCCATCGGTTGTTAAAGGGGGCAAATTATATGATGGCCCCTGATTTGTCTTTGGGGGGCATGGCCCTGATGCCCCCCTGCGACCTCCACTGGGCACCACCCCCACCCCCCACTGAGCCGTGAGCGGCGCACCAGGAATCGAAATCCACATTTTTTTTTTAACTGGTCATTTTTGCATGTCCGACAGCTCTATACGGCCTTGTGACAGCTCAAGCTCTTGAGAGGAGGGTAGTACCTACCTTAGAGGGGGCGGCGATGGCATTTGCACTAGAGGCGGCAGCGCCTACACTTAGAGGGGGCGGCACCTACATTTAATGGGCAGCACCCTAACTTGAGGGGCGGCACCCACGCATGGGGGCGGCGGCATCTATCGTGAGGGAAAGGCACCTTCATTTCAAGGGGTGGCACCTACACTTAGGGGGTGGCACCTACATTTGAGGGGGCTGCACTGCAACTAGGCCTTAGGGGGCGGCAACTACACCCTAGGAGGTGCCATCTACATTAGAAAGGACAGCACCAACATTTTATGGGATGACCGATGACACCTATGCATAAGTGGCCGGGGCCAACATTTGAGGGGGCGGCGCGGCACCTTCATTCGAGGGGGAGGCACCTGCATTCGAGGGGCGGCATTTAGGTACATTTGAGGGGGCGGCACCTGCATTCGAGGAGGGCCGGCACCTACATTCGAGGGGGCGGCACTAACATTTGAGGGGGCGGCACCTGCATTCGAGGAGGGCCAGCACCTACATTCGAGGGGCGGCACTAACATTTGAGGGGGCGGCACCTACATTCGAGGAGGGCCGGCATCTACATTCGAGGGGGCGGCACTAACATTTGAGAGGGCGGCACCTACATTCGAGGAGGGCCGGCATCTACATTCGAGGGGCGGCACTAACATTTGAAGGGGCGGCACCTACATTCGAGGGGCGGCATTTAGGTACATTTGAGGGGGCGGCACCAACATTCGAGGAGGGCCGGCATCTACATTCGAGGGTACGGCACTAACATTTGAGGGGGCGGCACCTGCATTCGAGGAGGGCCGGCACCTACATTCGAAGGGGCGGCACTAACATTTGAGGGGGCGGCACCTACATTCGAGGAGGGTCGGCATCTACATTCGAGGGGGCGGCACTAACATTTGAGGGGCGGCACTTACATTCGAGGGGGCGGCACCTACATTCGAGGGGCGGCATTACAGTACATTTGAGGGGCGGCACCAACATTCGAGGAGGACCGGCATCTACATTCGAGGGGGCGGCACTAACATTTGAGGGGGCGGCACCTGCATTCGAGGAGGGCCGGCACCTACATTCGAGGGGGCGGCACTAACATTTGAGGGGGCGGCACCTACATTCGAGGAGACAGCGCCTACATTGGAGGGGCGACATTTACATTTGAGGGGGCGGCACCTTCATTCGAGGGGGCGACACCAACATTCGAGGGGGCGGTACCTACATTCGAGGGGCAGCACTTACATTCGAGGAGGGCCGGCATCTACATTCGAGGGAGGGGGCGGCACTAACATTTGAGGGGGCGGCACTTACATTCGAGGGGGCGGCACCTACATTCGAGGGGCGGCATTTAGGTACATTTGAGGGGCGGCACCAACATTCGAGGGGGTGGCACCTCCATTCGAGGGGATGGCGCCTACATTTAATGGGCGGCGCC